TTCCGTAGAACAAAATTTTTACCTATCTCCTACCCTCTAGAAGTTATACCCCCCCAAAACCCTAAAAATTACATTTTTTAACTATTTGTTGCAATGAAACCATAAGCATTTTTGAAATTTTGCAAACGCAGAAAGACAGTGACTTGCTTCCGCTAGCGCGGTATACTATAGTTAAACTTTATAAAAACAAAATGGCCGTTCAAATTTACCGTTATCTAAAGTCCTTTTTTCCTAATTTTTGATTTCGTTTTTCTTCTAGACCTCAACTTGTAGAATTTTGAAATTTTAGGAGCTTTTAGACATTAACAAAGAGTTCATTTCGTTAGAAGAAAATTTTTTTTCAACTCCACCCCCACTCAAGTTATCGCCTCTTGAAATTGGTAAAATTTGAATTTTTGACACCTTATATTTCCGAAACCGTAAGCTTTTTCAAATTTTTATAAACGCAGAAAGCTAATGGTAAATTCCATGAAATTAAAAAATATAATTATTTTTCTTAACTCACACAATTAACCCTTAAAATTGAGCAATATGTTAACCCCTCTTTATAATAATTTTTGCTTTATTTCAAAGACTGCATAAATCGTTCATCCTAAATAAATGCAATCCTAGAAATAGTTTTGCATATGAATGAAAATAATTTTAATAGTGTGATAGGTATTGATAGACTGTATTTAAAAGTAGAATTTTCACTTGTTGAAGGAAAAAGTGCTACAATACAAACCATTGGTTTGACCCAACTTTATTTAAAAGTATTTTTTCATTCAAAATATTCAATGAACTTTTGGCCAACGAAATTACATTCAAAGTTGCCACATTATTTAAGGTAGGTCAAGCCATTTTCGTTTAACTGAAGTTGATAATAACATTTTTTTTTTTTAGTAAGTTCAACTTGTTTATGTGTACAGAATACATTTTACTCAATTTTTCATGCGAAACATTAAGGTTTAGTTTTAATTGTTCGTTTCCGATTAAACAGTTAATAAACTTTTTAACTTCTTCATTTTGCACTCACTGCCTTTATGTTTTCTTAAATAATTGAAACCATTTTCCTCATTTTTGCAATCTTTCGCTTTCTAGCACAGTGTTCCTAATCAATTGAAACTTTTTTATTTTAGAAAGTTCTCGAAAACAATTGCTTATCTATCTAAATGATCACATTATATTTTTCTTCACGTTGCCTTTGAGCTTTGACATTTTAAAAATTTTTAACGCACGGTTTTCTAGGTGATGGTTCTGCGCTTTCGAATTCTTTTGCAACTTAATCTGGGAATATTGAGCCCTAATATGAATAATTTCAATTTCGGATTTCATTTTCGAAGGAACATCGAGGAAAACTTTGTTAGGAGACTTAAACGTACAAGACCTCTCGAGTTAGTTCAATGTTTTTTATCTGGAACAATGGGTACTTAGTACGCTATTGTGCCAAATCAAAAACTGGTAAATAATCAAAGAAGTTGGACCAAATTTAATGGTTAGTCGTTTTTTTTGACTAGTTTTATAATTAATTTTGAGAAGGGTGTCTTTTAGTGGATTAAAGCTCCACAACACTGCTTTTCATCTGGCAGTGTCTTTCCAGATTTTTCACCCTTCCTCCCGGTAAAAAAAAACTTTTCACTGTCATTAGCTTGAACGATTACGATTCCTATTTTCTATATTTTTAATTTTGAAATCCTTAGTGTTGACCTTCTTGTTTAAGTGAGCTTGTTTCATTACATTTCTGTTTAGCTACCGGTTCAATAACTAATGATAGCTGCTTTTTAATTTTTGGATTTTTTTTATTTGACTCAGCATTTTTAACAATACTAGCAAATGAGAAACTTTGACCTTGACGTTATTAGGATTAAAATTTTCGATTTTATTATAAAATCATTTGAACACGTTTAACCATTTAAGCACTTTTGGCTTGAATAGAAACAACTGTCAAAAAAGACACTCGTAATAATAAGTAAATGCTAAAAAAATTAGTCAATAACCATAAAAAAACACGTCTGATTACTTTGTTTGTTTTCAATCAAATCAATGAACACCACGATGTGGTAAACAAGTAAGGCGGGTCGGGAATGCTTATTTATCTCTGCCATCATTTGACCTAGTTATATAATCATTCAGGGATCTAACATATATTTCTTTCAACAGTTTGTATTTTGTTTAAATTCAGGAACCTTCTTAGAGTTCTATTGAATGGATTACCAAGAGCCGTATCTGATGATGTAGTTGGCAAACTGATGGTAAATATTTCACCTCTTTCTGTTACTGTTGTATTTTGGAAAAATTCATATTTTCTGTCTTCAGCACCTAACTGTTTTTCTTTTTTAAATATCTTCTGCTTCCAGAATTTTTCAAATTCATCATCTACAGGGTCTTTTTATTGCGCCAGTAAACTTATTATTATTGTTGAATTTGGAGATCCTGCCAAATTTAGGCAATTTCGGACAATTACTACCCAAATAAATGCTGTTGTAGTATTGGTAAGTTTTGTCTAAATTTTATTTATCTGGCTTTCATCGATTCCCCGAACATTTCTGCGCCCGAAAGTTATATTATCGTCTTATATCAACGTCTGTAGTTAAATTCTATGTAGATATGTATATTGATCCACTTCTATGGCTAAAATCTGTTGTCCACTTTATTATTCTGACTTCTATCTGAATATCTTTTCTTGACTTTAATTCAAAACGTACTCGATATTTTATGTCTACCTGGGGTTCTCTTATCGAAAACAATTGCGTGCTTTCCTCTACGTGTTTTAATTTTAGTCGTTTATTTATTCGTTCAGTTATCAACTTGATTTATAATGTTGAGTCAACTAATATGCATTCTTTTTCTGCAACAGTCCCCAAAACTTTTCCTTTTCTTGGAGCACAGATTTTGGAAAATTTAAGTTATATCTTTTAATACCCTGCACTTCGTGAAGGAGTTTGTAACTACTTGAAGGAGTCATCTGCGGTATGGACATATATATATATTCTTGCTCAGCGTAAAATTCTGCGTCGATTTAGACATGTCCGTCCGTCCGTCCGATCGCACGATAACTAAAAAACGAATAATGCTATCGACACCAAACTTTCACAAGTTTTTTCTTTTGTGCCAAGGACGAACCCTATTGTTACTGGACTAATTCGGACAACGGGTTCGGGTAGCTGCCATACAACTCAAAGAGTTTATTTTAAATATTTCGAAAACTAATAAAGCTATAAATATAAAATTTTGTATACATGTGTCCAATTATATTCTACACATGCTCTAAAAATTATAATGGGATAGCTGCACCGGTTCGGGTGGCTGCCATACAACTCCAACAGCAAATTTTTTATATTCGGCAAAATAATAAAGTCAGATTCATGAAACTTGGCAGTCATGTGTCCAATTATAGGTCAAATATATTTCTGAAGTTTTAGAAGAATTGCTTGACAGGTTCGGGTACCTGCCATACAACTCCAGAAGCTAATTTTAAATATTTGAAAAAATGATAAAGTCAGATTCATGAAACTTGGCAGTTGTGTGTCCGATTGTAGATCAGATATATTTGTGAAGTTTTAGTGGAATTGCTTGACAGGTTCGGGTACTTGCCATACAACTCCAAAAGCTTATTTTAAATATTTGGAAAAATAATAAAGTCAGATTCATGAAACTTGGCAGTTGCATGTCGACTTATAGGTCAGATATATTTCTGAAGTTTTGGTGGAATTGCTTGACAGGTTCGAGTAGATCCCATACAAGCCTAAACGCTTATTCTTAATATTTGGAAAAATAATAAAGTCAGATTCATGAAACTTGGCAGTTGGATGTCCAATTATAGGTCAGACATATCCGTGAAGTTTCTATAGAATGACTTCACGGGTTCGAGTAATTGCTACACAATAACGAAAGGTGCAGGGTATAATTCAATCGGTTTATACCGACTGAAACGTTTTTATTTGTTTTTCTTAAGTCAGGTGCTCGTAAGTTAACTTAAATCAATTAAATTACTTTGCAATTATAAATCAATTAAATTTCAATTGACTTAGTGAGAGCTCGTCCGCACCTATTATATACGTTTCTCTTCGTTCATACGTTTCTATTCTCAAATCAAGTGAGAAACTAACAAAACTTAAATAGTTATCGATTAAATCGATTTTCAGGGTCAGACAAAAAATTTAAATGAAAACCGAAAAAAAAAACTGTTTTTAGTGGAAACTTACTTTGGGAAAAAAAAGTTTAAAACAAGGGAAACGACGTTATGTAAATTAGTGGTATTAAAAATTAGAAGAGCGTGAATCGAAATGTCGTATATCGAAGGGGCGTCAATACCTGTATTTTAAACTCTACCTTATTCATAAAACTTAGTCGTTTAGTATAGTAAATTTAACCTTCATTTCGGTGTTATGAGAGATTTACGGTAATTATAAGAGAAAATTATCATTACGTTAGTTACAAAAATGTGCAAAATGATCACTATAGTAATGTTAAATGTAATAAAATGTAATATCAGCCCAAAACGTTCGTGAGTAAATTTCAACATTTGATATTTCACAAACACTGTGCTATTAATTTTTTTCAATTTTAGCTCCGAAATTTTTTAAACCAATTTGCCTTTTTTGAGTTGCTTAAAAACACAACATTTTGTGGCGTTCACATAACATTTTCATGGTTAACAGTTTACGGTAATGTACTTTTGAATCCAAAAGCAAAATTGGTTGATTTTAAATTGAACATAATATTCTTTATTAAAGGTATAGTTATAACTAGTTTTACATAAACATTATATTTATATGTGGATTTTTCCCATTTTTGCCTTAAAAAGTATAATTAAGCAAAAAGAAGCTTCATATTAAAAATTATATATTGACAGCTGTAAAGACTCTTATAATAAGTCTAAATCTCTGTACAAAAATTAATATCTATGTAAATAATTGTAAATAATTTTGGGATAAATAAATAAATAAAAAAAAATAATATCCTTTAGAAAAAATAAAAATGTTTTCGTAAGTCTAAATTTTCTTAAAAAAATATATTACCTTGGTGAATTGGTCGCAATCTGTAATATGAAAAATGAAATCATTTATTTCAATATCTATCCCAATATTTAAATCTTTCCAGGAATAATAATCTATGGAATTTTTGGAAACTTTTCCCCGGCGCACTAATCGTCCTTGCAAAAGACCGGAATTCTTTCGAAAATAAAGAGATAAGAGATTGAAATAAGTAAGTAAATACGAATTTACAAAATATAAAAAGCAAATTATTAAACTTCCTTATTTATTGTTTGGAAACCACAACTTTTATTTTGTTTATTAATTTATTTCATTAAATTACTCAAAAATACCTTGGTTGTCTTAAACATAATTAATTTAGTTTTTAGAAAATAACTAAATTGATTAGGTTTAGAAGTAGACAGAAAATAAAGAGTAATAAACTGAAGAAAAAATATAAAAACAAGAACATACAATGTTAAATTACAATTGGAGAGATTCAAAATGTAGAACGAATGAAGTGAATTTCAAAATTAAGTTGAATTTTTATTTAAAATAAAAATATAATAATAATCCTACATATAATTATTTAGTAAATCCAGGAAAAAACCGAAATATCTTTCATTTGAAACGCTGTTATTTTTACGTGTCACTTAACAAAGGTTAAGCAACGATGTTTTTAAGAAAACTTTTGCAAACCTCTTAATCTACGTGAAAGAACTTAGAAAACGAAACTGCTTTCAGAACCAACTATGCTGATTATTATCATCGTCAATAAATTATTGGTTGATATGTAATTATAGTAGAAATTTGAATTTTTGTTTAGAAAATTTGCTTTTATAAAAGTTCTGATGCCTTGGGAATTATAACTTCTATCAACTTGATTCAAAATTTGTGTGACCATTGGGGATAAAGATTACTTGGGTCGCTGGTAGGAAAGGTAACAATTAAGAACAAATTGTTAATTTAAAATTAAATGATAAAATCTGTATGGTTTTATAACATCTAGTTTTGGGGTTGTGCTTTAAAAAAACAAACTTAAATAAAATTCAAAGTATACACAACTAAATTCCTAGATGTAGATGTTCCATGATACGAAAGGAATAGAATCATACACAGAGATTTCAAAGGGGCTAACTGTGAAAGAAGAAGCCTTATCTCACATTACCAAATTAACAAATGCAGATAATATAAGATCCTTCTCCAAAACATATTGTAACAAAAGAATGTATGTATAGTGAACTTAATAAATACATTACTCTATATCAATTAACGTAAAAATTCATAGCACATAATATGCTTGGGTTTTTACATATTTACGTTTTACGTTTTTACATATTAGGTACAGACATAAAAAAAAGGTTTTTTATTAATTTGTGTTAAATTAACTGGTACATATTTTTTATTATCAATTCTTACATATTTTTTCTTCAGTCATTTAAATTTATTCTATTTATTTAAAATTATGAGTGACATAATTCTTATGATAAATCCCGATGTGCCAATATTTAAGGTATAGAATTAGGTAAGTATTTAAATGAAATTTAAACATAATATTACAATCAATAAAATATGTATTCGATTCAATGTGAAAAGACCAATTGGTCAGCTCACTGTTTTAACACAGTAAGGTGCATCCATAAAAAAAAGAATATGTAATTTTTTCAAAAATAAAGCATTCACATTAAATTGAAATTTATTCTACGAACACATATGTATGTGGTTTATTAATTGCTGATTATTAATTTTAACCAATACTTAAAAACGCATTTAGAACTTTAATTAATTTTTTATTATGTTAATAATTAACGTTATAGTTTTTTGTTTTTTTAAAATTGAAAATAATAAATTAACCAAGGTTTTTTTAGATATTTTAAAAATACAAATCTGAGAACAAAAAATGAAGTTGTTCAAATTTATTTTATAGTGAATTTTTATAAATTTTTGAAAAAATTATTCATCTCAAAGTTACGAAGAAAAAAAATTTCCAGATTTGCTCTAATTTCGAGCAGCAAGCCTACTACTCGTAGTATAGTAATAACTAAATTTTAGGAGAGCATATATGTTTTATTTTAAAAGAGGTCTTTTATAACCTATGTAATACCATATACATATAACTATCAGGCCATCAAGCTCAGAGAGCCAATCAAAAATATATTCCAAATTTATATGGAATTTTAATGGAAGGGGTGTCGGAATTTATTTGTTTGAAGGAAATTGATGAATATTTTTGGCGCTACTGATTCTTCATATTTTTTTTTAATTTAAAATTTAAATTTCAAAAAAAGCGGTTGGTAAATTGCATCTGAAAAATGCATTACAAAAAAATCCAATTTTTAGCGCAGACTTTAGCCTTTCTTGTCTTCCAAATGGAAGGGCACTGAATTCCAGAGCATAATTTTTGAATAAGAAATAGAATTTAAAATAAATTGAAAAAAGCAAAAAAATAAAAATTATAATCTAGGTGGCTTTTAAAACTATACTGAATAAAATGGGAATTATAAAGAATACTCAAAAATTTTACAAAAAAAAATAAAAAGATATTTTAATCGGCGTACTTCAGAAACATAAAACATTAGAATTGTTTTTTTATTTTTTGCCGATTTAAAATTTCGGAAAATAATTTCAGCTTGGAGGGGTGATAGATATATTGACATTTTTCAAAATTTCACATCACAAAATTTCTTTTTACACATTATTTTTTATCCATATATGCTCAATGCACGAGGCTGTTTATATACTTACTTAAGTTTGCTATTCTTTTCAGCTAACAAAATGTTCTTATGAATTAAAAAATAAAAAAAATATTAAAAATACCATAATTGCTGGCTCAAAAACAGTTATACTGTCGTCAGCTAGGAAATATAATATGTTCACACGTCTTGGTCGCATAGTTTCATTTGATGAATCCGGGTCTCTCCCGGGTGGCTTAAAAAATGCGAAAAATGTTAAAATAATTTTATCAAATTTAACAAAGTTTGGTTTGAATGGTGTATGAAGATTATTTCGAGTCTTGCCATATGTAAGAATTGGATCATATCTTGAAACAAAAATATATTTAATTTAAAAAAATATCAAAAAATTAAAGTTAATATAAAATTTACAAAATTGCCTCCTCCGATTTTTTAAAATTGATAGATGCCTCGTGAGATGATTCATTTCCTACACCGGATGGTTGAATTCGTTGGAACGCATGTCCATTGTAAAAGAAATTTGAATGGGAAATGTGATGATTTAATCTCGATTTACTAATGCAGTCCAATCCGATACAATTAAATAGTTTTTCCATTTTTTTTGGTAAATTTAAAAAACAAAGTACAAAAAACAGTTTTGAAAAAACACAAAATATACTAATTTAAAAATTCTGTGACGTATCAATCTGATGTAAACAAAATTTTATGATTTGCTGATTGAAAATGAAAAGTATGTTTGATCAATAATAATAAATACGAATATAAGTATGGGTGGTATTAACTACAAATTTGCAAGGTCGTCGATATTGACAACAATAATACGAAAATCGAAATACGGGAATAAAATCGAAAACTACACCCTTCTTTTATACACCCTTCTAAATTTGTTATTTATTAATTGATTTTAAAATTTGTATTTTATACCGATTGTCGCGTTAAACAACCCTGCGCATTGTACATATATAAATATGTACAATTTTTTTGTAATATACAAAAAAATTGTGTAAACAATAGGTAGATTATGTGATGGCAACAAATTTTGCATATCGAGTTTTCGGTGGGAACGTACTTCTCCGTAGTAGGGAAGTGTAAATAAACTATTTTTAGCAACCTGTCGGTCTGTCGGTCTGTGTGTTTGACGCGTGTATCTCAAGTTCGGCTGAACCGATTTTGATGAAATTTTATATGTAAGTTTGTTTCCACCATGGCACGGATCGATCAACTTTTGGTATATATCAGGCCTCGGGAACTGCACTTTTTAGCGGGCCTGTTTTACATTTTTGAACATTTGGAAGAAAATATTCATCCGATTTACTTGAAATTTTATATATAAGCTCAGCTCGACCGTCTGCAAAAATTTGTATGTTTTGGAAGAAATCAGGCATCGGCAACTGGGCGTTTACTACGGGCCAAATATACATTTTTGTGTATATAAAGAGAAATAATCAACCGATTTCATTGAAATTTAATATATGAATTCCCCGTATTAAAACAATGAACATGTAAATTTTTTGGAAAGATCAGGCATCGGCAACTAGACGTTTACTACGGGCCAAACATATACTTTTGTGTATATAAAGAGAAATAATCAACCGATTTCATTGAAATTTAATATATGAATTCCTCATATTAAAGCAATGAACATATAACTTTTTTGGAAAGATCAGGGCTCGAGAATTGATTTGCGGGTCGATTTTACATTTTTCACCATATCCACAGAACAAATTGATGGAATTTCTTGAAATTTGATGTTTGAGTTCTGGTTGTTACCAAAACTAACTGGCGAGCATTTCAGAGAATTCGGGTAGCACAAAGCGAAACTCTACTAAGAGCCAAATTTACATTTTTTTAAGTATGTTAACTATAAGGTTACTAATGTCCTAAAAATTGGAAAAAAGTATTTAACAAACAATTTTATAATATTCTGTAACACTTTCATTTAACTAGACAATACACAATGTGGTCGGTTATGTGCTGACCACATCAGATTTTTTTAAATAATCTTATGTTTATATAGGGTATTCAAATTTTATTTTCTTTAAAAATGGGAACTATTCAGTTTCTTTAATACACATATGTATAAGTTTCGTACGGGAAGGTTATGTCGCTGAACAGTAAAGTCATTCTATTTGTTGTTTAAAATTTAATTTTAATTTTAGTGAATAATTATATTTATTATTATTTGTCTTATTAAATAAAATGTAATTTTATTGTAATTTATGTTAATAAAATATTTGCTTTTGCCGTAATATAAGTATAAAATAAAGACGGATTTTGAAAAACTAATACTAAAATTCATTTAAACAGAAAAAATTACTTAATAAATAAGTAAGATTTGGTGTACTTTTTAAAGTTTTTATTGTAATCATATTTAAATAAATTATAATAGTATATTTGATTACCATTATATAAATATAAATGCCCCGAAGAAAAGGAAAACGTAAATGCTATATTTACATTTACTTCTCCAAAAACGAGGTCATTAGGGATAACTAGATACTAACGAAGAATTTTTAATATTTAAGAACTTTAAATTTTATTTTGTTGCCTGTAGTAAATATAATTTAAACAACCATCTACTAATGTCAAGATTTAACAAATAAAGTAAATGAGTAATTTAATCTCTAACAAAAGAAAATTAAAAAATTTTGCGTAATTTAGCTGAATACATACATAAGCACATTTATGTTATAAAATTGTAGGTTTTCTTATCAAAATATTACTAGTTTTAAGAAAAGCCGGTTAAAAATTTAATTTATATATGTATATATATGTTATGTAATAAAAAAAGTGAAATCAAATTTTTTTTTTCAATAACAATTTTTTTTATATATTTACCACTTTACCTGGAAAATGTTTTACTATTCTAGTTTGTAAGAACATGAAATTTCAGTTTGTTATTACTAAAACGAAATAAAAAAATTTCTGTATATATTTTTATTAATCATTTTTATTTCTCAAACATCGAAATCACCATAAACATTTTTAATTTATTGGAAAATACCTATTATAATTATATATTTCTTAACAAAAAGTATACAGCCGTATCATGAATTTAGGAACTGATACTTTCAATTCCGAATTACTAAAATTCTACTTCGAATATTTGTAATAGAGTAATCATAGATTACGTTCGTAGTAAAAATAACCCTCAAAAGTCTACGAAAGAAATAATCACACGTAACAAGCAAGAGGGGTTGTTTTAAATTTTCAAGTTCTCAATTTTTTAAATTTAAGTTCTTTCAAAACAGCTACCATATTTGCTAAAAAAATTTTTTTTAATTTTTCAAAAACACTTCAAAACTAAAAAGAGCTTCAAAACTCCGTATTTAAAAAATAACCATTAGTTTTGCTCTATCGCATTTTTGTGTCTATATTCCGTGAAGGAAGGCACAGTAGCGGTGTCTCACTTACATGCTGTTTTAAACTCGCCCTATGGCACAGTTCCTTATCTCCTCACTTACTTGGAGTACACTCAGATCCCTATGAATATGTAGTGTACCTATTTGCCATACTATTAAGTCTCATTGAGATTTCGTCAATTCGTTGTAGCACATCTTAAAAGATTTGGATTATGCTATTGTCACTTTATTTTGTCTTATCTTCCTTATCTGTCAATATCTTTATTATTCATGCCCTTAGACCTTTCCTCGATATAATTTTCTGCCATTTTGGACAGTACTTGTGAGTATGTAACACAATTTTTTACCTTATTTGATGTAAAAGCATTAATCGCTTTTGGGGTTGTTCATGATTACCCGGGGCCCGTTTAGGCCGATTCCTTTTCATTTTCCTTTTTTGTAATTCCTTAGCGACTAAACAGCCTCGGTAATTAGCAGGGTGTGCCTCGTTACAGTTTGCGCACCTGGCCTGAAAATTATCTTCTATAATATCGGTCATATGATTATCAGCACATTTAACACATTTAGTCTCTTTGTGTATGACCGAAAATCTTTGTGTATGACCGAAACTCTTGCATCTCTTGCATTGCGTGATGGATCCATTATTTCTAAGAGGCTCAACTTTTATTCTTATGTGTTGAAGATATTTTATTTTATATATTTTATTTATCTCTTGGGTTTGATTGAATGACAATATAAAATTGAGCAACTTTTTAATAGTATTTAAATCATTTTCTTTTGTTTTTTTTTTTTATTTAATTTATGACATCCACGCATTTGAATTCCCTTTGGATAAGTTCAAATTTAATATTCTGTGGCTCACATGATGGATGTAGGTTTTTGGCCATTGCTTTAATTGGCCTTGCCAATTTATTTTCATAAGTATGCCATTTCAATTTGGCCCTATTAACAGCTTACCTATATCTATTAATTACCTATATATATATAAATTTATTTAATTACCTATATTTATTTTAATTTTCAACATTTAGTTTTATATCTGTTCACTGTGTTAAATGTGTCTTCGTTACTAAACATTATATCAATATTTTTGGTCCTTAGAAATATTTCTAACATACGCTTTTTAAGAACGCCATTTGCGTTCCACGTCGCAATCCTTATTTTATCTTCATCCATTATTTTTTATTTTTTTTGGCGTACATCCATAAACATTATCATGCTTATCTTCTAATCTGCTCAATCTTAATGAGATTTCGTTCATAGTTTTTATCATATTTTGCATCATTTGCATTATATTTATATCACTTTCAGAAGGTTTTTGAGGTGGTAGATCTATTCGTTCTTTGGTACTATTCGTTATGTTTCACCTCTCTCCACTTGGGCATATTGTATTCTCTGCACTCTTTTACTCAATTTAGTTGTTTTTGGGGTTTTCGGAGTTTTGGGGGTATTTTTTGGTATTATTTTTATTTGTTTCTGTTTTGTAAAGTTATTTTTAATACACTTTGGACCATCGATTTTTTCTTACTACAATTTATTGTTAAATGAGGACCAGCACACCTGACTCCTTCTGCACTGAGGAACTAAATCATTTCTTCTTAGGGATTCAATTTTAACCTTCATGTGCTGAAGTGCATCAATTTTGTAAATTTTATTTATGTCCCCCGAATTTTCAAAGATTAACATGAAGAGGAGAAGTCGAATCATTCGACTTTTAATTTAATGAATTTTATTAACTTCAGTAACTTTAAAGCTACTCCCTTTTAGCTAATTTTAAATATCTTCCTTTTTATTTTCGTAGGTATGCCACTCTATTTTAAATTCATTTATTTTTTTTGTTAACTCTCTGTAATCTTGTTTTTGATCAATATTGATTTTGAGTTGATTACTATTCATCATGTTGACCCTAAAGTTTATTTTGGCATCTTTTGGTTTATTTAGCATCTTCTTTATTTTTGGATATTCCACATTGCTTAATATAACAGGAGGGGGTTTGATCTTTCTTGTAGAGAATTTATTTTGCCCACCTTGTCCACATGACTTATTTCAGGTGACATATCTGCTCTTCGCTTTTTGCTTTTTCTCTTGAGAATCCAATTAGTTTCCCGAGTCAGACCCTCCTCGCCTGTACAGTATTCCACTTTTTTTGCCGCAACTTTTCCGTATTTATTTCTTTTATTGCATTTAGATTTCTTGATTCCAATTCCAGCTTATTATTTTCCTCTCTGAGATACTGGATTTCATTTTTCCATTCTTTACAAAGCGCTTCTAGCTCACTTATTCTTATATTTAAGTGGCAGTTACCAGTTTTCTGATCCTTTATGTCATTAATA